CGCAGTCGTTACACCTGTACAATTGCACCTGGGAAGGATCTCTATGCTGCAGTTGATGCTGTTTGACACAACTCTTGTATTTAGTTTCGAAATCACAGTCATTACACCTGTACGTTTGAACCTGCGAAGGATCTTTATGTTTCAGTTGATGCCGTTTGATACATATCTTATATTTAGTTTTGAAATTGCAGTCATTACACCTGTACGTTTGAACCTGCGAAGGATTTTTGTGATTCAGTTGGTGATTTTCCATACCACTCTTGTTTTTAGTTTTGTAATCGCAGTCGTTACACCTGTACAATTGCACCTGGGAAGGATCTCTATGCTGCAGTTGATGCTGTTTGACACAACTCTTGTATTTAGTTTCGAAATCGCAGTCCTTACACCTGTACTTCTGAACCTGCGAAAGATCTTTATGTTTCAGTTGGTGTCTTTCCATACCTCTCTTGTATTTAGTTTCGTAATCGCAGTCGTTACACCTGTACAATTGCACCTGGGAAGGATCCCTATGCTGCAGTTTATGCTGTTTGACACAACTCTTGTATTTAGTTTCGAAATCGCAGTCTTTACACCTGTACTTCTGAACCTGCGATAGATCTTTATGTTTCAGTTGGTGTCTTTCCATAGCACTCTTGTATTTAGTTTCGTAATCGCAGTCGTTACACCTGTACAATTGCACCTGGGAAGGATCCCTATGCTGCAGTTGATGCTGTTTGACACAACTCTTGTATTTAGTTTCGTAATCGCAGTCGTTACACCTGTACAATTGCACCTGGGAAGGATCCCTATGCTGCAGTTGATGCTGTTTGACACAACTCTTGTATTTAGTTTTGAAATCGCAGTCCTTACACCTGTACTTTTGAACCTGCGAAAGATCTTCATGCTGCAATTGATGATGTTTGATATAACTCTTGTATTTAGTTTCAAAATCGCAGTCATTACACCTGTACATTTGAACCTGTGAAGAGTCTTTGTGTTTCAGTTGGTGATTTTTTATATGACTCTTGTATTTAGTTTTGTAATCGCATTCATTACACCTGTACATTTTGACCTGTGAAGGATCTTTATGTACCAACTGATGTCTGATAAAATGTGTCTTATTCTTTGATTCGTATGTGCAACCATTACATTTATAAATGGGCAGTTGTAAAGTGTCCTTATTCGGTAATGCGGTGTATTTTTTGTCGTCCTGCTTGTCTTTCGTATTACATTCGTTTGTCGATTTATTCTCATGTTTATATCCATCCTCTTCTGCATCTCTAAGGACCCTCTTCTTGAATGATTCACTATCAGAGCTCTGCAGTAGCGAGTCGCTGAAAAAATTACATATACAGGGTATTTTCCCATGTTAGGTGTTAATTCTAGGGGGTGATAGGTTATTGCAAATGCAATTATGCAAGTTTCTGAACTGCACAACACATTATTTCAGTTTTATTATCATATAAATGAAACTCTTTTCATGACCCAGTGATTAAATTGAAGGTAATTTGTTTGGGAATGGGGTCAGTTTTTAAAGAAAACCAGTTTATTGGTAACGTTAAACGTCGACTAACCAATAAACTGGTTTTCTTTAAAATCTGACCCCATTCCCAAACAAATTACCTTCAAATTAATATTTTTATTGAAGATATGTTAAAAATAATTAATTATGCGGAAACCCTCAGAAATACAGGAAATTAATGCAAGAGAGGCAAAATTAAATAAGATCTGGAGTTATACAATTACCTCGTAAAATTTTCGTTAAAATAGTCTTCTCTTACCTGCTTTCCTCATCTTCCGATTTTATGTCGATACTTTCAGCTTTGATTGACATTTCCATCTCGTTGATATCGAATTCTTTGTCCTCGTTTTCAGTCTTAACGAATAAATCAGCGGGGGACGTGTCTATCTGTCTTTCTGTTGCCACGCTATTAAAAATACCTCTAATTTTTTCCCGTACTTCCCAGCAATTTTTTAGGAAACTGTTGTGGGTGCACACAGAATCAAAGCATTCCTTACACACAACGGGATCTTTGATGATATTTATATTCTGCAAAGTAGTTTAATTAAATTGCGAAAAATGTAACTATTTAATATCATTGATACCATTTCAGGAGCCAATTTCTCGATAGCTTTAAGTTCCTCTTCACTTATGCACCTAAACTCACTTTCTACTGGGTGCATACACAAACGACATATTTTCTGACTGTCTGAAATATCCATTGACTCGCTTGTCTTTTCCTTCGTATACACATCTCTTATATCGAGCTGTAACATTTTTTCCCAATCCACATACGGAATAATTGTGTAATCGGTCTTCAAACAAGTTGACTTAAATTCGAATGCTGCGTTTAACTTTCTTCTGCAAACGTTACATATAACCTCTTTGCCGTCGCTATCAAATTTCTGAAATATATGCAACTTTAACCAAAGAGAAAGAAAATAACTTTGGCAAAAAATATCAATTATTGTTAAGTTGCTCTAATGTGTTGAGATGTCCGAATTGAGATATACAGCGCATCTCAGAAGTAACCCAAAAGATTCGTATTTTATTTTGTTACGTTTTCACAAAAATGTTAAGATACGTCAATTAGTAAATAAATAAATAAACCTATGACGTCATCGACATATTTTTTAAATAGCACTACCTAATTTTTTAGGCATAAATGGATAGCCCCAAAGTAGGCCAAACCCTATATCGACGCATTTTCCTTCAAAAGGGCTATCCTTTTATGCCTAAAGAATTGAGTGCTATTTTAAAAAAATTTCGATGACGTCATAGATTTATGAAACAGAGCGCAAAACAGGTTTAAGCAACGTGACAAAACGACAATTCCTATACAGGATGTTTGTAAAAAAGTGCGAAATATTTTAGGGGGCGGTTGCCGAAGTTACTTTGTGAAAAAAGTTCATACAAACCTAGGTCGAAATATGTATGCCTCGTTTCCGAGATAGTGTTTAAATTTTATTTAAATTTATTTTTTTTATTTATTTTTATTAATTGCTTCAAGGACTTTCGAGGAATAAATGTGCATTTTTTGGGGTGATCTCAATGTTTCCACTTGCACCAGTGGCATTCGTGCAAGAATTTTAATAAAAAAAAAATTGTACGCTTTTTCCTGTTTGATATTTCTCTAGAAATCCTCCATCAATTCTGAATGAAAATGGTCTCTTCAATTTTTTTCGTAGGCTGCACCGTTTTTGAGGAAAAAATAGAACATATTTTATTGCAAGTCGTGTGTATTTTTAATTTCTATTCAGGCATTATCTATTAGGTTGGTGCCAATATTTCTAAATAAAGTACAACCGTCACATTTCGAGTCAATACCTTTAAAACTCTGAAATAATTAATAAAAATAAATAAATCATTAAAATTTAAACACTCTGTATCTCGGGAACGAAGTATATTTCGTCCTACATTTATATGAACTTTTTTTCACATAATAACTTCGGCAACCGCCCCCTAAAATATTTCGCTCTTATTAACAAACACTCCCTTTTACCGATCGCGTTAAAATTTAGCACGTTTATTTGGACTACTACGGCACATTATTTCTTACAGCTTTAGTCAAATCAATATACTGGGTGATAGTTTCTCCGGTTACCTCTCCATTTTATCGTTCAAAACATTTAGGGCCGCTTGTTCATTTCTAAGTTTAAACTAAGTTCAACTGAACTCCAGTTAACTGTGAACTACCGTTCAAAAAAGCTTGCTTTGCACAAGTACAGTTCAACACCGGGTCACTTGAACTTTGAAATGTTATAAAGGGGTCGGCATAAGTCAGGCAACGCTTTCGAAAAATCGGCATAAGTCCGGCAACGCTCATAAGTCTGGCAACGCTGTCGAAAAAGATTAAAACGAAGCATGTTCGTGCTTCAGACGGAATTCACCTTCTGTCCGCATATTAAAATTATTTGTTTTCTCTCTATAAATTCTTTGTGCTCTTCGGTTTTCATTATGGTTTTCATACAAATCAATTAATTCCAAAAAATCTTCGTCATCGGTTATATTTTCATAATTTCTTGCCATTTTCAAAACAAATTGCAACAAATAAATACGTATTCACTATAGTGACAATAACAGTTAGGTAGCAGTCACAATTTTGACAGGCTCTTGAACTTCGGCTAACAGTGGTTTATCTTGACGGAGGGCTAACGGTAGTTCAATTGCTGAACAACTCATGTATAAGCGGGTCAGATATGTTGAACGAAGTTCAGCATTGAACGAGGTTTAAACTGGCATTGAACAAGCGGCCCTTAGTGGTTGTATTTTAAATGGGCGGCAACATTGAAAAGGTCGTTTTAACTCCAATACGCTCGAGTTCACTTATACGTGCCATTTTGCGAGAAAATTATTCACACTAAATGTATTTTTAACATGTGTTGTCAAGATAATCATATTAGACAAAAGAACGACGCGGCGTTGTTATGGAGGTAGAAACTTTCAAAGATAACTTGATGCACTAAAATATATTTGGATAATTTATAAGAAAATGATTTTCAAACTTCGATATCTCAAGAAGAATTAAGTTTAGGTACATGATGTGCTATAGGAATCTTGTTTAGAATTTCGAGAAGAATTGAAATTAGGAATAACATACAGGGTGTTCCAATAAAGAAAAAGCAACATTGTTTCGTCATAACTTCTCGACTGATCTTGAATACTTAATTTTTCTTTATCGTAATAGATTTAAAATAACCATAAAACGTTTGTGTCTTATGATTTTTCGATAGCTATCTTACTCTAGGAGATAATCGACCGTTTCCAAACATATCAGCGACCCCGAACTAATACATATCTATCACTGACTTACCAATTTCAGCAAAAGAACATCTAAAATATCTCTAATAACGTCGTTTATTAGCTCAAAACCTTTAGCGGTTACAGTTTTGAGGCAAAGCTTGCACGAAGTTTCTTGAACACCAGTCATTGCAACAATTTTCTTTGAAATGTAAATACTAAATATAAAACCGTAATTAGTGTTAGTTGTTTAACCTCAATGAAAACATCTAATAGAGAGTTATTGCTCTTCGTCTTCCTCTTCCTCTTCTGTTATCGGAACAACTAGAACGATAAAGTCTCGTCTCTAATTCTTGCTCTATGAATTCTATGATTACGAATTGCTGAAAAAAATTGACGTAACAATTTTTCTTGTACCAGCGCCAATCTGGTTTTCAAAACGTGGCGCTGTTGGTTTACATCTAAAAAACCTGTTTTTTATCTTAATTTGTCTTTGCATATAACTATTACGGTTTGCATTGTCTGAATTAAGTGTAGTTTTCAATTTACTTGAAACAAAGTATGTAGTATCTATAATGTATTTTGTATTGGAAAATTTGTTCTATGAGCAGATGACGTCATCAACGAGTTGCCGAATTTCGATCTGATGCATATTGTAACGTAACTATATATTATACAGGGTGCCCCTGAAAAGAATGGACAGCGCTTGACCACAGGTTTCGTAGACCAAAATAAATCTATTTAGCCTAACGTCAGATATGTGGCCTAACCCTAGATAAATGATACTAGGCCTAACATACATAATCCAAAAGTGCATGCCTACTGAGATATAGCCTTTTAAATATAGAACATATAACCCAGTTTTTTTCAAATAATTTGAAAACTGTTTTTCTTAGAAACTTCAAATTTGGTACACATATTTTCTTATATAAGTGCAACTTAGTGTATTTGGTGAGAATACATATACAGGATGTTCTTTTTCTAGTGCCTGTGCGGCACTGTCTATCCCTTAACTTTTTTGTGTGTACGCCAGTGACAGAATTTATATTTTTAAAAATAAGCACTATTTTAGATTTTTTGCCTCATACAAAATTTTGATATAGTTTATGGATTTTGAGTAAAATTGGCATTTTCTACACATTAAAAATATAAAATCAGCTTAAGATAATTAGATCAGTTTAGTACGAGATGCCATATAACAAAAAAACAAATTGATAACAGTAATCAGAACGGTTCAGCGTCAAGCTAGATGTCATTTAATTTTAACTTACTTTGTTTTTTTAATCTTTTCCTTACTATGGCTGCAATTTATACTTTTGCTAAACAAACTGATATGTTACTAGTTTTGGGTTATTGTGATGGAAATTGTTGTGCTAGTGTTCGAACATATGCTGTAAGATTTCCTAATTGAAGAATTACAAATCACAAAACATTTGCTAATGTGGAGAGACATTAAATCTTGGAAAACGTACGGCTAGAACTATTCAGCTGGAGAACAAATTTTGGAAAGGGTCGAAGAAATTCAACAAGTAAGTAAAGGGCGTTTAGCGGCAAAGGTTGGCTTTCAAAAAGTTTCGTTAATAGTGTATTAAAAGACCAGTTATTGCAGCCATTCCACTTTCAATCAGTTCAAGAACTTTTAGCCACCAACAGATCCTCCGTCACGTCTTGCTTTCATAGTATTCGGGAACTCAGAACGAGAGACGATAATATCCACAAGAAAGTCCTGTTTACAGGCGAAACCTATTTTAAAAGAAGGGGTATTTTTAATTCACTTAATGAACACGTTTATTGTGATGAAAAACCAAATGGAATCAGTAGAAGACGGTTCCAACATGAATTTAAGATTAACGTTTGGGTTGGTATTATTGGTAGTATTTTAATTGGTCATGTTATATTACCCGCTACATTACACGCAGAAAATTGTTTAGAATTTCTCCAAACGAGATTACCCTATAAGCCTGAAGAGTTACCGATAACACTACGAACGAATACTATTTTCATGCATGATGGGGCTTTTCCCATTTTGGCTTACCGGTACGACAATACTTAGATGAGCCCTATCCTAACAGGTGGATAGGTAGAGGAAATAATGCCCCTTTAAAATGGTCACCTCGATCCCCGGATCTAAACCCATGTAATTATTTCCTTTGGGGGGCGTTGAGAACCACAGTTTATAGCTTTTCAGTGAATACAGAAACGAATTATGGGAGAGACAAAATGAAAGTAATGTAATAAGTTATTGGATAAAATTCATTTTAATTTCCTAAAAAGAAAATTAATGCCTGCGCTCAAGAACAAGGAAGGCGTTTTGAGTATTTTCTGTAAAATTATTTTAATGTTATTACAAATATCAATTTAGATTTATTTAAAATATTAATGTTGACTTTCTTGTACTATTAGTTGATATTGATTATTTAAAATACTAGCGTTGATTTTTTATTTTATTGATTGATAATATTAAGGGTGACCATTTTTAATTTTTGAGGTACAGATTAGTGACTTCTGCCCATATTTTCTATACGGCCGGCAGCACTAGTTGAAGTAGGTGTATTAGGATTATTATTAATTATTATATTAATTAAAACCCAGAATGTCGGTGTTAAATAGTTGTAATGACATATGAGCAATTTAAATTTAAAAATGTTGTTGTCTCTGGCAAGGGCCAATAACGAGACAGTTCGTTTAGTATTGTTGTAACGCTCACATGTGCTTCGCACAGCAGTTATACTTGTTACATATTATTTCATTAGAATAAAATTCAGTCCTCTAAAAAGTTCAAAAGTGTATTTATTTCCATCATTCGAGGAAGTAAGACAAAACAGTCGGTCTGAAAAATGTTCGAGACAACGGGAACATGCGAAGGATGAGCCTTGGAATCGGGATGATAGAAAACTATTTTATCTAGTACACGGGGACGCGTGTGAATTCGGAAACACAGTCAGCACTCACTCTCCGTGTCAAAAATTCGATTTTTCGACGAAGTAATATCAGTCGGACGGTGACCCAAACGCCAACGTCACAAATAAGCGACTCGGGATTATTTAGAATCACCGCCGACTAATACATACTACGAGTAGTAAATATAAAATTAACAAACTATTATTACATACACATTTTTTTTTAATCGCTGTTGCATAACACTGCATCATTAGCTTGCAGGTTCTCATATACCGGAAAAGACAACGTGATGCTATGTAAAAACAAACAAAAGTAAAGGTTTCCGTGTTTTATAGTCATAAGCACAACACAAATAATTAATTTAGGACAGGACAAATAAGGAATATCAGGCTGGAAGTGTGAATTGATTTTGTACAAATATAAATTAAATTAAATAAAAAACTTCCCACTACAAGGTACATCATAATTTTCGAAGCACTGGTTTCTGGTTTACTGCAACGCTCGTCTCGAAAATCATGTGGACAATCAAATACTGAGTTTCTAAGCTAGAAGTGAAAAACGGGACAGATAGTGTTGCTAAAAACCACCCCTGCATAAGACTGGCAAGCGAAGGAGGCTTTGAACATTTTTATAAAGATATTTCAAAACTTACGGCATCTAAACAAGTACTTATTTATTTCTTCTTAGTTCATATACAAAGTTGAGTTTACAAGTCTATGACATCGGCAACACAGAATAGTTGATCTCTCAACGCATAAATACCACATTGAAGTCAGCAGTTCTCAACAGTTTTCTATTAAGAAAATCATTGCATATATATTTTGTCCCTATTTTTTTTTTAAAGAAAAAACTGTTAACTGCATGTTCTACATAGTAAATCGTCTCGTCCTTTAGAATACATATGTGCACATTTAAGATTCACTCTGAATATTGGTAATGAAAAAGATACATTTTTAAACATAGAAAAAGCAAGTGTATATTATAATGAATTTATTTTAATGCATTGTTACACAAGCACTAGTCCAAAATCACTTGTCTCTTTGTTTCGGTGAAAATTTTGTGTCTGACCTAAAGTTTTTGAAGACAGGCATTACATTTTATTTCGTATTCACATACTTATGACGGGTCTCTAATTTGTGCTCCAATGGGCCGTACTTCACACCCACGAATATTTTTTGTGCATCAGCAGATGTCTCCTTAGAAACTTCTTAAATGCTTGGTTTCCGAATCCGATGCATTTGAACCTGCGACATACCCTTTGTGAGTCAACAGATCACAGATAAAGTTTGTCTTATATGTACATTTGATAAGAACATTGCTTCATCATACAAACTCACTCTCTATGCTTCAACATGTGACATTTTATACTACTCTTGTATTTGGATTCATAGACACAGTCACAGTCATCTGGACCTGTAAAAGATCTTTATGTTTCAATTGGTGCCGTTTGATATCACTCTTGTATTTAGTTTCGAAATCGCAGTCGTTACACCTGTATCTTTATGTTTCAGTTGGTGATGTTTCATATCACCCTTCAATTTAGTTTCATAATCGCAGTAGTTACACCTGTACATTTGAACTTGAGAAGGATCTTTATGCTTCAGTTGGTGCACTATGATATTTTTCTTGTATTTACTTTCGTGTTCGCAGTAGTTACACCTGTACATTTGAACCTGTGAAGAATCTTTATGCTGCAGTTGATGACTTTTGATATAACTCTTGTATTTAGTTTCGTAACCGCAGTAGTTACACATATACATTTGAACTTGAGAAGGATCTTTATGTTTCAGTTGATGCCGTTTAATATTCTCCCTGTACTTAGATTCATAACCGCAGTCCTTGCACTTGTACATTTGAACCTGCGAAGGATCTTTATGTTTCAGTTGGTGATGTTTCATGTCACCCTTGAATTTAGTTTCGTAATCGCAGTCGTTACACCTGTACGTTTGAACCCGAGAAGGATCTTTATGCTTCATTTGGTGCCGTTTGATATGACTCTTGTATTTAGTTTCGTAATCGCAGTCGTTACACCTGTACATTCGAACTTGACAACGATCTTTATGCCTCAACCGGTGCTTCTGAAAAAAATTTTTATTTTCCGTTTCATATCCGCACGATTCACATTTATACACTCCCGAATCGTTCTGTGCTATAAAACGGCTCTCGCTTCCAATTTTGTAAAAGACACTCTTCTGGAATGGTTCACTATCGGAGCTCTGCAGTAGCGAGTCGCTGAAAAAATTACATATACAGGGTATTTTCCAAAGCAAGGTGTTAATATTAGGTTATTCCAAATGTAATATAAGTTCCTGAAATCCACAAGGCATTATTTCAATTTTATCATATAAATCAAATTTTTGATGACAATTAAGTCATATTTGTATTAATGACATGATTAATGGAAATAATGAATTATGTGAAAAACCTTAGAAATACAAGAAATTACCTTTTAAATTGATGTTACGATAGACGTTTCTTACCTCCTTTCCTCATCTTCCGATTTTATGTCAACACATTCAGCTTTGATTGACATTTCCATCTCGTTGATATCGAATTCTTTGTCCTCGTTTTCAGTCTTAACGAATAAATCAAATGGAGACGTATCTATTTGACTTCCTGAGGCTGAACTATCAAAAATACTTTTAATTTTTTCTTCCGACTCTAAGCAATCTTTAAGGAAATTATTGTGAGTGCACACAGAATCAAAGCATTCCTTACATATAACGGGATCTTTGACAATGTTTATAATCTGCAAAGTATAATTTTTTGAACAGAAAAAATATTTAATATCGTTCATACCAGTTCAGGAGCCAGTTTCTCAATAGCTTCAAGTTCCTCTTCACATATACACCTAAACTCACTATCTACTGGCTCCATACACAATCGACATATTTTCTGACCATCTGAAATATCCATTGACTCGCTTGTCTTTTCCGTCGTATACACATCTCTTATATCAAGTTGTAACATTTTTTCACAATCCAAATATGGAATAATTGTGTAATCGGTCTTCAGACAAGCTGACTTAAATTCTAATGCCGCATGTAATTTTCCTCTGCAGACATTACATATAACCTCTTTGCCCTCGCTATCAAATTTCTGAAAAATATGCAGTTTTAACCAGAAAGCCAGTAACTGTGACAGAAAATATCAGCAGAAAAATCAATTAAAATAGTACAAACTAATATACATTTGACTTACCAATTTCAGCAAAAGAACATCTAGAATGTCTCTGATAATGTTGTTTATCACTTCAAAACTTTCATCGATTACAGTTTTAAGGCAAAACCTACACGAAGTTTCTTGAAGGCTAGTCATTACAATAATTTTTTTTGAAATGTAAATCTAAAACTGTGACTTGTATTGGTTGTTTAACCTCAATTAAAACATCGAATCTAATAGATTTATTGTTCTTCTTCCTCTTCTATTGTCGGAAAACAAGAATGAAGTCTCGTTGATAATACTTGCACTATGATTACGAATTGCTGAAAAAACAATGTTTCTTTACAGATCGCTAATAATCTGCTTCTTCAGAACATGGTGCTGTTGGTTTACATCATGATACGTAAGATATAAAGACGTACAATTTTTACGTTACGTATAAATCGCAAAGTGGGAAGAGTTGTGACAAGACAAAGACAGGACTGGTCCTTGCCTACTAGAGGCACCCTTCAATGCTAAATGAGCGAACAGACGTATGAGAGAGAGAAAGCAAATAAAACCGTTAGGTATCTCTCTCACTCCAATTCAACAATCACTCCATTCTCACTCCAACAATTAAACGATATAAAAACGGAAAATAGAAATAGTTTACTTCCATAAATGTTTTAAGTAGATTCCCTCGAATTTTTTGGTTAATAAAAGTGTAAATTATTAAAATAATTTTTTATCAATACTTATAAGTTGTTGAATGATGTTAAATAGAATTTAATTAACAAGCGTCCCTTTTTTTTCAATGTTGGGCAATATTTTGTTCGAGGCTTTTATTAGAAACGAAAAATATCCGCCTGAGGATCTCCAGCTGTCACAAACTACAGAAACGGTCCACCAGGTATACTCGACACTAGTAGTGAAACAGGTACCCAAATCCGTTTATCGTAAACCCATCAACCGTTTCTAAGGCAACAATGGTCCGACAAACACCCAATTGTTTATTATTACCCCGGTGACTCAACCACACTTGTCGAATCGATAGGAAATTACCGAAATGATCAATTCTGTGCTCCCACACGACGACACAGCGCAGGCTCTCAGGTAGATTGTTGACTTCCGCGGCGTTGCCGGTTGACCAGAGATTAAAAACGCGTGTGAAGTGGGTCTTTGACTTTCGAAGAGAGTAACAGAGATGCGACTCCTATTATATTATTTTAAAGTCACTCTAACAGGGATGCTTACGGTTTTATAGTTCGTGTTGGAATATTTTTACATTTCTCTGGGTGTATCCTACCACAATTGCCTCGAATGAAATGTAAATGGCGCTGCATTTTTAATATAGAGCAGTGTGCGGCGCAAGTAAAAAAAATGAGTGGCATTTTTTTCTCTCTTACGCCGAAATAGTTGTTTTTCAAAAACATAAGTCGTGTTGACACTTTAATTCTGTTTCCTAAGTGTCAAAAAGTCAGTCCAGTTAACTGGAAGGAAAGTTTTTTTGCTTCAGAACGAAAGCAATGTTTTTCTTTTCATACATCTGTAACTGTTATTGATTTAATTTGGATAAATGGTTACGAAATAAAAAGTAAATACAGTAAAATGTAAGCAAGTTTAATTATCGAATTTGTGTAGTAGAGGTGAAAGCCTAAAGATGTTACAATTGGAAAAAACACGAAAGAGAGAAAAAAACTTTTTTCCAAAGCAAAAATTGGAAAAATTGGACGACTCTTAGAGCAGACTCCACATATATTTTCCTAGAGTAAATTTCAATGAATAAGAAAGTAAAATATTTTAACAAACCTCGTGAATACCCATTATTAGAATACCTAACCTCAAAAATCACCATAAAAGAACTTTGTAAAAATCTTGATCCAACTGATTTATTTTCAATAAAAAATTTCTATATCTATTTTTTTGTGACACAGATGGAGTTATTTTCGATTTATTCAACTATACAGAGTGTTCTACAAGCTCTATGACAAACTTTGACAGATATATACAGGGTGTCTCACGGCCCATTAGAATTATTTCAGAGACTACTTCGATTTGAATTTTGAAAAAATGAGATACTGGGTTTTCGGGCATGCCCTTCTCAACTAAAATAAGGGCGTCCACGTAGCACTTCCGGTTATACCGGAAGTCGCCATCAACTTGCTTATTTTAATTGGAACACCCTATATATTATTGCAATTTTGGATTGTACGTGTTATTTTACGTGGACTTTTATGAAATTTCCCTGTTCCTAAAATTAACCGTTTTCGAGATAATTATATTTTTGTTCATAAAAATGGGGAGAAACAGTGGTTAGCTTCAAACCATGTGTTTTATAGTTAGAAAGATAAAGCAACAATATTTATGGGGGGGGGGATAACTAGACCCCTAAGCTTCCCATCCATACCCCCATTGTTTTAGTTGAGAAGGGCATACCCGAAAACCCGGTATCCCAAATTTTCAAAATTCAAATCGAAGTAGTCTCTGAAATAATTCTAATTTGCCGTCACCGTGAGACACCCTGTATGTACATAGGCCCGATTCGTTTTTGTTTAGAAGTTACATCCAATTTCCAAATTGCTCTGTAGTGTCGAAATTTTACCGTTCTTAAGTTACCTACAATTTTCTTATAATTTTTACATAATTTCATAGCTTTATTTATATTTTTGTTCCTTTTTTGTTGTTATTTTCAAATATTTGTACACTGCTACGTATTTATTCATCCTATAATGGGGTTTCCTTCCCGCTGGATGAATTAAATTAAATACATCTCCTTACGTCAACGCGTTCGTTGGTAAGAGCTTTATTTCCCCACTTCTTGACATCCCCAGAGCAACCGGCAACGCCGCGCCCTCGCCAAACAACAAACGCGGGCGGCTTGAAAACAAACGAACACCTTTGCGGCTGTGGTGCAGATCTTGCTTCAGTCTGTCGGTGTCGCGCGAGGCAGAGGGTTGTTTACGTCTTCGTTTAGTCACTCCGCAACCGGACGTTGTTTTAAATCTCAGTTCTTGTGTTTGCGTTATTGTTTACAGTTTTTTTCTGTGTGAAACCTAAGAGGGACTCCCCACCGAAACCGAGGATTTAGCTGCCAACCACCGACAGAGACCCAGGTAGGCCTTGTTTGTATTCAAATTCGTGAACGGCAACAACCTAACCTGTAACGGTACAGGTTTGGAAATGTCAAGGCGAGTTTTTAAAAATGTATCGGCTGGGGCCGCGGGCTAGCAATGCCGATTCGGTGCGTGTTTTTTGCCACTGTGTCGATTTAAATGCGGAGGAAGCACGGGTGTTTGGATTTAATTCGCGTTTCGTGTTCTACCAGCACGTTTCCACGTATTTCGCAGGTAGCTGGCTGTGCATTTCAACGACTAGAAACTGTTTCGTTTTTTTCTGGGTGGGTATTGTTGCAAATCAGCCCGGATAGTATGACTGTTGCATAGAAAATGTGACGTAAGCGCGTGCCTGGGCAGTGTCGTGTATAAGGGGAGACTATTAGATTTCGGTTAAAAAAATCACTAACAATGTTTCAACGTTTGGTCCCGAAAAAGAAAAACCGGACTTAAGCTATGAGCTGCTATGGCCGTTATTGACGCTGCCAATTCAGTAACATAATAATTCATGACAGAATTGCCACTGCAAAATGCAACAAAACTTCCTTCTGATAGAGACGTCTACATTTTCCCACTTTAATATCACTTTTTGTGCTACAATATGTTGTGCATTCGATGAACTATTCGCTTTAAATTGTCTGTTACAAAAATAAGCTAGTAGTCCAGGCAGTATCTGTTTCGGGTTGGGTAAAACGCATATGATCGAAGATTTTTGCTTTAACGGCTTCTAAATAACATCAGAAATGATAATTTTTCTATGCAAATAAAAAAAAAACGTGGGCTTAATTTTTATTGCAAAAAGGTATAAAAAAATAGCAACAAAATTCATTTTTTTCTTGGATTTCTCGGCGACAACTTCATTCATTTTATACAGAAATGGAAGGGGAAAAAAAGCTTTGTAATTAAATTTTGAGCAAGATAGAGTTAGTTGCAATTCGAAATAATAATTATTGTTATTGCAAAAATCGGAAAAATCATTTAAACAATTGCAAAAAATGCCAGTTTATTTGTCAATTTTTTCCAGACACTTGAATAATACCTAGGGTCTTCATACTTTTCCCAATTAAACTTCTTAGTGCATAGAATCATCACACCAAATTTCATCCAATTCGGTTCGATAGTTTTTACATAATAATTGTTTAAATTTTTTATATTTTTTAAATTAAAAAATTTTCAAAATCAAATTTCTAAAAATCTAAAGCCTTTGAATACTTGAAAATTTCACCACAGAAAGAAGAGCTCTCAAGCTTTAAAATGGTTTTTGAAAAATTCAAATCGAACGATTAGGTGAACCGTGGTGGTTGTTTAAACATTTTCGCAATTTTCACGCTTATAAACAATTGCAATAATTTAATGTTTTTTCAATTTTTTTTTATATGAAAATATGGTTTAAAAGTACTCGGAAAGACGAGTATTTAAAAAAAAACTGATGATCCGCCCATCATTTTCGGAGTTATAGCCCGTTAAAATTAACCCTTATTTACAGTAAAACTATAAGGGTATAAGGGCTGTTTTTTGAACTAATAGATTTGTCATTCCGGGTACTTTCCAGATATAAATTTTCAAAATTTGCAATCACGGGCGTCCTATTTAAAATGTCACTCAAAGATATTCAAGACCGCGTGAAATCAATGAAATATCAGTGGTGGGGGAGCAAACACACAGCTACTCCGATCTGAATTCTCGAGTTCAAAAATGCTCTGAGTATTGCACCCATTGCCAAGGGCAAATGTGTAAAAATGCTTACAAAACAGTGGAAGTAGACGAGTTCGAAATCGATTTTGAAGAAGACATTTCAGAAGAAAGTGCAAGTGAACTCGACAATCAGATTTCAGAGTCGTTAGAAAATGATATTTTGCAGTTGCAGGACGAGGAAATCGACGACGAAATAGATTGTGATAATACTGATGAGGCATGTGAAAAATCACCAACTAGTAAAAGAATTAGATTAGATTAAATGTAAATAAAAATTGAAATAAATAGTTTAAAATTTGAAAAATCATGAAAAGTGTGTACTGTTTATTGAAGTATCCAAAAGATTCTTATACTTTTTTTATATAAATAAAAAATAATTTTTAGATAAATATTTTAAGAATAAACGAAAAAATTAAAATTTATTTTTTTTGAAAGATTTTTAGAAATTTATTGTACAACTAAAAATTAATACTAATTTTCAGTTGTTTATTTAAATAATTATTGATTAAACAATTTTATAATATTTAAACAAACTTACTAGTATTACCTGGTGCAACATGCAAAAATTTTGGTCGTGAATATTAACATAGTAAATAAATAAACATAATAAATTGATCAATTTTTAAAGTAACTGTTTATCGGCATGTCAAAAGTCCAATAATTAATAATAAAAGTTAGTTGAAAATATGATAATTTAATTTTTTAAGTTGCGAGACATCGATTTAAAAAAAATCATCGAAATTGGCCCATTAGAAGCTGTGATAAGTGAAATTTTTCTTAGCGTCGCAGTTTTGAACTCAGATCGGAGTGTGTTTGCTCCCCCCACCACTGATAGCTCATTGATTTCACGCGGTGTTGAATATCTTTGAGTGACATTTTAAATGGGACGCCCGTGATTGCAAATTTTGAAAATTTATATCTGGAAAGTACTCGGAATGACAAACCTATTAGTTCAAAAAACAGCCCTTACACCCTTATAGTTTTACTGTAAATAAGGGATAACTTTAACGGGCTATAACTCCGAAAATAATGAGCGGATCATCAGTTTTTTTTTTAAATACTCGTCTTTCCGAGTACTTTCAAACCGTATTTTAAAATAAAAAAAATTGCGAAAATGTTTAAACAATCACCACGGCTCACCTAATCGACCGATATGAATTTTTCATAAAGCATTTTAAAGCTTGAGAGCTCTACTTTTTGTGGTGAAATTTTCAAGTATTCAAAGGCTTTAGATTTTTAGAAATTTGGTTTTGAAAAATTTTTTATTATAAAATTAGGTATTATGTAAAAACTATCGAACCGAATTGGATGAAATTTGGTGTGATGATTCTATGCACTAAGAAGTTTCATTGGGAAAAGTATGAAGATCCTAGGTATTATTCAAGTGTCTGAAAAAAATTGACAAATAAACTAGCATTTTTTGCAATTTTTTAAATGATTTTTCCGATTTTTGCAATAACAATAATTATTTTTTCGAATTGCATCTAACTCTATCTTGATCAAAATTTAATTACAAAACTTTTTTCCCTCTTCCATTTTTGTCTAAAATCAATAGTTGCTAAGTTG